TGGCGGTTGATTAAGGGCTCAGAATTCACCTGTCTCCACAAAGCTGGGCTGGAAGAATCGAGAGAGGGGCGCCGCTCTCTGCCCCCTTCAGCTTTTCCTTTCGCTCTCTTCTCCCGCTTTTCCTCTCTTCAGGCTCGCCTAGCTCCTTTGCTCTTTTCTTTTGCCCCAGTTCTCCTCCTTGCTTCCCTTGGGTGGTTGTCAGTTTCAGCTGCCTTTCTCCCCTTTTCCTCCTTGCCAGTCTGCCCCTTCCAGCCCAGCTTTGGGGATACCATCCCTGAGGAGAAGCCGAGGGAAGAACATCTTGATGATCCCACCAAACTCCTTCAGGCATCAGCAAGCCCTCTCCTCCCGCTTCCAAAGAAATATCTGAAATTTCTGATGGAATGTATCTCCATTCTCAGTGATAATTTGGGGAGGGGACTAATATGGGGGTACATAAAGGGTCAAACTCCCACCTTCGTCATATATGGGCATTACATATAGGGAGCAGTTCTTGGGCTGGATATTCTGGCTGTGGGTATGGGGTGGGGGCAGGGGAGTGTGTCCGCTATTTCACGGAGCAGGGAAGGGCCTGAGGCGGGGGAGAGGTTGGTGGAGGGAAGGGCAGCTAGCTCCCTGAGTCCTGGCTCCTCCTCCCCTGAAGCACCCCACTCCCTGCACCCCTCTCCAGACCTGACCTGAATCCTCATTCCCGTGCTAATCTTGAAGTCTCTGTCCCACCCACTGTAGCTGAGGAGAGAGGCCAGGTCTTCAGAGAGGGGATGGTCTGGGGTGAAGCAGGATTGGGGTGTGGCAGGAGCTGTTTTGAGAATCATGTATTGCTGCAAGCCTTGCACCCCCTTTCGTGCTTTCCCACTGCTCACTTGGGGCTGTCACTGGCCTCTCGCCCTCCTGGTTCCGCTGGCCGGGCCAGGAGAGAACAGGGATGGGAGTCCCAACGGGCCCCAGGAGATCCTTGTATATAATGGGGTGGGACCATTCTGAGTGATCTCTGAGCACTTAGCTCTGAAGTCCCGTTCTTCCTGGATGGAGAAGGGGTGCAGGGATGGGAGTGCAGAGGGGATTTGCTCTTCTCCTTCCTCCCGTTGTGAATTATGTCCTCTCTCCTCAGCCTTCCCCTCCAGACCACCAGCCAGGGAAGGGAGCGGAAGGAGGTCACAGCCAAGAAAACTGGCCTGTGACAACTTCCCTTCTTCCCACCGATGTGAGCCATCCTGAAATGTCTGTACAATAGAAACCAAACCAAATGGGCAGCCCCCTGGTCGCCGGGGGTGGGTGGGGAGGGGGGTGGGAAGAAGGGATGTCTGTCTGTCGACCCCCCTCCCCCTCTCCACTCCTTACCCTCAAAGGCAGAAGACTGTTACACTAGGGGGCTCAGAAAATTCAATCCCACCCTTACTAATTGAGCCAAACCTAGAAACAAACGCAGAACACACACAGCAAGAGAAAATAGAGGAGAGAAAGAGAGAGCGTGAGAGGGAGCAAAAAAGGCGGCCAACACGGAGAGAAAACAAAAATAGCAAAAAAAAAAAAAAAAAAAGCAGTTCTTTATAATTTAATATTCTATTTTAATAAAGGCGTTTATTACCATATAAATGTAGCAAAGAACCTGGGCTAATATGAAAAAAAAAAGACTTTTTATTAGGTAATTTATTATATGAAAAGGATATTTTATTTTATGATAAAGTGATCCTTAAAAAAAATAAAAAAACTTTAGAAGGTTTAGAATATATGTAGGGAGAGAAGAAGAAAAAAATACATTTGTATTCAGAGTTAAATCTTAAAAAAGTGTTTTTAATATATGTTTGGGTTTACGTTCCTTTTTTCCCCCATTTTTTTTTGGGGAGGAGTGTCATTTGCTTTTCTGGGGGAGCATTCTGGGATGGATGGTGGAGAGAGGGGCTGGGGGAACCTGGTCCCTTCTGGGGCCCTGTGAATAGATTGGATTTCACTCCGTGGGCTTCCCCTCCCCTCTTCCCCTCCCCCTCGGGGGAGCCGGCAGAGCCAAACAAAGAAAGGGATTAACAAGAAAGGAAGAAGCAGAGGACTGAGAATCCTGGGGTGTCCCCCCCTTCCCCTGCCCAGTCCCGGGGGTGAGTGAGGAGGGGAAGCTGAGAACTGGGGCCCAGCAGGCCCATGGGAACCCTCAGAGAGGTGTGAGATTTAAGAGAAATAGATTTTTTTTTTTTAACCAAAAACGAGAGAGAAAGAGAGAAGAAGAAAATGAAAGAAACCGAGGGGTTTAAAAGAAAATACTACAAAATAATAATTATTAATAATAATAATAATTCAAATTTATTTCATATAATCCTAGAGAAAGAGAGAGAAAGAATTACTAGTTATTTAGTAGACAATATTCAGATAGCTTAAAGTTTAGTAGTATTGAGGGCCCCTGGGTCCAGTAGAATGTATAAAAGTCGTAAAGAAAAGGAAAATAGAGGAGGGAAGTGGCTGAGTCTACCCTGAGTTGTCCCCATCTTCAGATATCAGGGTGGGAGCAGGTTGCAAGTTAAGGTTGGGAGCTTCCAATCTGCTGGGGTTGGTTCTGAGAATCCTTGGATTGTTAAACTGTAGGACAAGTAGAAGAGGGGCTCCCTTCTGAGGGTCTTTGAAAGGGTGGACATTGATCATCTCAAGCAGATGGAGGGCTGGGCTGAAGGCAGCAGAGGGAGGGGCCCTGGGGACCTGGCCGTTCTGTCCACCACTCTGCCTCTGCTGGGCAACGTTTACTCACTCCAGTGATAGGTCATCACCTGGGACTCTTAGGGAGGATGGAGATGGCTCAAACCCTCCTAAACCAGCTTCTCCCGGACCTAACTGACGAAGTCCTTCTTAAAGTCTAACCTCAATCCACTTTATTGCAGATTGATTTGAGAGCCTGGTAGGTCAGTCCCCAAACAGACAGGCATACATACTACTTTACCTTCTCAGAACTTCAGGAGGACTGAGGATATCTGTCTGCCATCCTTGTTCCTGCCCAACATTCCACTTTGCTTTTGCCCTCCAAGGCAGCAGTGGAAGTAACATGCTCAACAATTGTTCTCCTTTAAAGCTGGGCTGTGCTTCACAGGTGTGCAAAGTGCTTTACTGACTCACAGAAGTTAGATTCCAAGAAGGACTTCCCACCCTAGGAAGTGAAGGGGAGACACCGTCCTTGATGGTCTGGGAGAACTGGTACCCAGGTACAGAGGCAGGGGGAGGGCAGCAGTGACCTTGGGTGACCCCGACCCTGACCCTGTCTGCTCCAGCCCACCTCCATGTGTAAGTGTTCAGGTAGGGGTCGTCCACCGTGCCCTGGCCTGGGGCACGTCGCCCTCCTGACATTTTTGTTAAGCACTTCTACCAACCCCAGCTTGCAATCAAGTGGGGCCCTTCCCTCCTGTCCAGATAGGGGGAGGCCCCTTGGCTCTCCTTTTGGCAGGAGGGGTAGAGCCAGCTCCATTACACCAATGACTCTGTCATGCCCCTCCCTGGCCCTAGCCCCCAAACACATGTCCCTCTCCAATTTACTCTTCTCACCCCACCTAGGGACAGATTGCCCTCCTGCTCTGTTTGTCCTAGAAACCCTCCTAGTTTGGGATGGTAGCGTGGAGGGTGGGAGGGGATTATCCTTGCCCCCTGCTCAAGGGTGCGGGTGGGTAGGGTGGGTGGGGGGAGACAACCCTGGGGCAGGGGGGATGGCCTCTCCACTGTAGAAAGTAGAGTAGGATTGTGGTCAGACTTAATTCGAAGCATCTAGTGAAGACACAAATCTGCTGAGGAGAAAAAGATTTCAAAAACAAAATAAAAGGCGGGAAATAAAACCGACCCATGAATAATCAAGTCAAAATGATGTTGCACAAAATGCAGAGAAACCAAGAAGGGGGAGGGTTAATGTATTAAATGTGCTATTAAGAACTTAATTTTATTAAAAGTATTATTACTTAAGGCTCTTGTCTTTTTCCTCCAGCGTATGGGTTGGGGCCATCTTGGGATGAGTAAGAGGAGCCCCTGTGAGACGGGTCGCTTGGGGTTTTCTCTACTGTGACCTCGGCGTCCCTGCACACCTTATGGGAAGCGGAGGTCTCCAGAGCTCTCGCCCACCCTTGGGGTCCCCTGCCCACAGCTCCCTGCTGGAGTCTCCAACCACTCAGTCTCCTCTCTTCTCCCTATTTACTGTCTTCTATTCCTTGAGGGGAAACCCTGGTGGTGTAGTGGTTAAGTGCTACGGCTGCCAACCAAAACGTCAGCAGTTCAAATCCACCAGGCGCTCCTTGGAAACCCTATGGGACAGTTCTACTCTGTCCTATAGAGTATCTATGAGTCAGAATCGACTTGACGGCAACGGGTATTCCTTTAGGGGCACTCAGACCTTCCACCCTGACCTGCAGACCGGGGTGACAGAGACCCTGCTTGAGCAGCCATCTCTTGGGCTCGATGGAGAAGGGGCCAGCTGAGAGCGGAGAGAGACAGAGACCCTCCCCGCTCACCCCCATCAGACCCTTCGATCCATCCCTGCACAGTCCCTCTTCTTTGGGGACAGGAAGGGAACGATGGAGAACTTGGACATTCCACCTTCCAGGTTTAACCCCACCCCTCCCTCCAGCCCTGTAGGAGGTCCTGACGCCCCTTCTCCCTACCATCTTCCCCTGCCTCCTTCCCGTACCCCTGGCATTGGAGTGACCTCAGTTCTTGGCACCAGGGCCCTGGGCACCAGATGGTTCCCGCTGATGCTGTTTCCTTTGTCTTCCCTTCCAGATACCCCCTCCCCTCCGTGCTGCCCTCCCTCCCCCACCCACCCTGGGGGTTGGCAGAGGGATGGGCGGGCAACTCCCACCCTCTTGGCAGTGTCCCCACACCACAGGGCTCCCCAAGGCAGCTGGCCCTGGGGTGCAGTGGGTGTGGTGGGGAGGACAGAGGCTGGGGGAGGGGAAGGGGAAGAGGGGCTCAGGGGAGGGCCAAAGCTGAAGGAGAGGCACCGACTGGAGAAGAGGGAGGAACAGACGGAGGCGGCAGGATGGCCAGGCATCGATACAAAACACAGCTTTATGTGAGGGCCTCGTCTGTGGGACGTGTGTGGCGGGGCACGAAGTCCTCAGAGCTCTGGGGGGCTGTGGACAGAGAACTGGACGCTGACATCAGGAACCAAAGGACGGGGAAAGGGTCTGGGGCTTGGGGGTGGGGTGGCGCCCAGAACGCCCGTGAGGGCAGGGTTTGCGCTGACCAAGGTCAGAGGCTGATGCAACAGGCCCTTTTCTCCCCAGGGCCCAGCTCCTGTCCAGCCTGGCCACTGCCCAGGGTGATGGCACCAGTCCGGGTGCTGTTCTGCCTCTGCTTGGACACCTTTGCGAAGATCTCTGAGGAGGCAGAGGGCAACTATCAGCCCAGGAAAAAATTTAGAGCCCACACTGCATTCCCCTCTACCCCTCACACCCCTTTATGAGCATTGGAGGTGGCCACATCTGAAGGAGGTTTTGCTGGAAGGAAGCGGAGTTCGGGCACCTGGGTCCCTTCTGCTGACCTGCATGAGGGGGCCTGAGAGGTATAGGCAATGGTGCCGGGAGGCTCTGAGGAGGCTCAGGGCCCAGAGAGGGCCTGAGGAATCAGCTGGAGTGAGGACTGGGGCCACCAGGTGGGATGGGAGCGCCAAATGGCGGCAGGGGCTCTCACCTTTGAGGACAGTCTCAAAAGCCAGCTCAACATTGGTGGAGTCCAGGGCTGAGGTTTCCAGGAAGAGCAGCCCATTGTTTTCTGGCAGGAAGGGAAACACACCTTTAATTGAGGGGTACAAAGGCAATAATAATAATAATGTGATTTAATGTTTACTAAATACCAGGCACTCCGCTAAATCCTTGGCATGTAGCAGCTCATTTAATCCTTAAAACAACCTGTGAGGTAGGTATGATTACTACACCTCTTTTATAGAAGAGGAACAGAAACCCAGAAACCAGAGGGAATGCATAAGGAACTTGCTCTGTGTCCACATCTAGTAACTGACCGAGACGAGATATAAGGCTGGGCCATGGGACTCCAGAGTGTGTCCTTAACCACCATACCATGCTGCCTCAAAACCCCAGAAAATTCCTAGGGGAAGTATGACTGGAGCTGGTCAAGAGGAGCCCTCCTCTACACTTAGGATCTCTGAGCATTGCAGAGTAGGACTGTCTTAAAATCCACTATGAATAATTGCCCTTGAAGACAATCTCAGGGCAATGGTGGGAAATAACGGGGTGCACAGGACATGAAGGGGAAATGCTGGGACAACCCTTAGGGAGAGATGGAGGTAGGGGGACCCGATGGTAGAAGTCCAGGCTGGGGATCTTGGGGGTGGGACAGGAGCTGGAGAGGCTGGAGATAGGAGCTCGTGGGGGAAGTTGCAGGAATCTGACTGGGTCATGGTAGGCTCTCACCAGCGAACATGCGGGCCTCCTCAGTGGGCACCTCCCGGGCCTGGCTGAGATCACTCTTGTTACCCACGAGCATGACAATGATGGTGGCCTCTGCATGGTCATAGAGCTCCTTTAGCCAGCGCTCCACCACGGCGTAGGTCTGGTGCTTGGTGAGGTCAAACACCAGCAGGGCACCCACGGCACCACGATAGTACCTGGGCAAGGGGTAGGGGTGGGCAGAGAGGCAAGGTCAGGGCCGTGGGGCCTAGCCTCAGAGCAGAGCCATCAAGTCAAAAAGCCAGAGATCAGAGTACCAGAGACCAGGAAATACGCAAACTGGGGTCCAGGGAGCCAAAGCTCAGCAGGGCAGGCCAAGGCTCCTGTGCCTGATGCTCAGAGCCCTCCAGGGACACTGACCTTGGAGCATCCAAGGCTCAGCTCCCTGCTCTAAAACCTCCACTGGCTCCCTCCTTCCTCCATAGCCCCTCTGCTTTGCTCAGTTCCTTTGTTCTGATTTTAGCCCCTATTATTCACCAGTGCAGAAACCCTGGTGGCGTAGTGGCTAAGAGCTCGGAGGGCTGCTAACCAAAAGGTCACAGTTAGAATTCACCAGGTGCTCCTTGGAAACCCTATGGGGCAGTTCTACTCTGTCCTATAGGGTCACTATGAGTCGGAATCGACTTGACAGCAATGGGTTTGGTGTTTTGGTTTGGTTTCGGTTTTGGTTTTGGTTATTCACCAATGCATATATGAGCTCTGGGCAAATCTGTCTCCTGGATGCCCCTCCTCTGAGATCTTCATTGCAACGGCTCCTTGACCCCCACTGCCCTCGTCTCTCCTATGGCCAGCTAATTCTTGCCCTTCTATCTAGGACTAGCTAAATGACTACCCCAGGCAGCATCCACCTCAGGCAGCCAGGCTCTCTCTTGGAACTGGGTGGGGCTAGTGCTATGTAATTATTCCCATTTTATTGATGAGGCAACTGAGGCTCATAAGTGGTCAGGTGACCAGTCCAAGAGTGTGTATGTATCTTGTGTGTAACTGAAGCCCCTTGCTTCCTGCCCCCCAGTGCTATCCCCTGCTATGAGCACTCAGCCCACCCTTCACACATTTTGGCCTGAAGCCACCGGGGAGACGATCTGGATGTGGTGTCCAGAGGCCTCATTTCCTGAGTGTCCTTTGACTCTTGTTGCTTTGTAAAATGGAGATGATCAGTCCAGCCCTCAGCGTTTGTGGGTAGACGGTGAAGGCTGCCATGTGCAAAGCAGTGTGCAGAGGTGAGGGGGTGCTCTCGACCCCCAGAGCCTGCTCACATCCCAGCTCCACCCTGACTTCACCTGCTCGAGGCTCCGGTTTCTTGTATTCAAACAGGGATTGATCACAGCACCTTAACTCCTGGTGTTACTCTGAGGATTACATAAAACGCCAAACCTAAAGTGCCTTGTGTCTTCCTGGGCACATTGTAAGGGGCAGCAACGATTCTTGTTTTTAGTCCTAGTCATTAGTAGCACTGTGTACTGTCTCGGGCTGTTTGAAGCTCACGGTACTTGAGTCTCCTCAACTAGGCCATGAAGGCTTTGAGGGAGGAGGCTTCCCTGGAGTCTCAGGACCCCACCCAGGGAGGCACTGCTGAGATCCCTTGCCACCACCTTCTCCTCCACCTTCCTCCAGAGGTGTTCCCTGACTTCCCCAGCACCCCCACACCCCCGCTCACGCCGAGGTGATGGCTCGGTACCGCTCCAGGCCAGCCGTGTCCCAGATCTGAGCCTTGACAGCAGCGGTGCCCAGCATCACAGTGCGGGTGGAGAACTCAACCCCGATGGTGGTGCGGCTGTCGTGGTTGAACTCATTGCGGGTGAACCGGGAGAGCAGATTGGTCTTCCCCACGCCTGACTCGCCGATCAGTACCACTGAAGGGGTGGAGAGAGAAGGGCTGAGCACGGGGCAGAGCAGCCCCAAGCTCACTTGAGCTTGCAGTGTCTATCCATCAGGACAGGGGAGCAGGACTCAGAAAACTGAAGAGGGAGCTGGGCTCCTGGCAGGGGCTGGGGTCAGGTCTGCCACTCTGCAGAATGCATCTGTCCTGGGCAAAAGGGCCAGAGTTTGGAATGAGCTAAGGGGGACATCATGTTTGGTAAAGCAGAGGGCCAATGAAATGAGAGAAACCCTCCATGAGATGGATTGACACAAAGCCACACCAATGTTCGCAAACATACCAACAATCATGAGGATGGTTCAGGACCAGACAGCGTTTCCTTCTGTTACACATGAAGTCACCAGGAGTCAGAGCCAACAACAACACGGATGATAGGCCTGGTCTGTTGAGATGTGGCTGCAGAGAGTCAGCCTCTGCGTCTGGTCACGGTGTGATGTCTGTGGGCTGTTTGTGGGTGCTGGTGTTCAGGGGTTGTGCAGGGAGGTTACCCGCGTGTGTGAATGTGGACAGGGAGGGTAGGAGGTCTGGGGGTGCACAGGTTCTGGAGTAGAGTATCAAGTGGGGGCAGTGGGAGGTTTGGTGTGTGTGTTTGCACAAGGAGCAAAGGTGTGACTAGAGATGTGGGTGAGGAGAAAGTTTGGCAGGTGACGTCTGTGGGTGAGGAGGAGGTGTGTGTGCCCATGTGTGTGTAAGAAGTTAGGATCCAGTTGTCCCTACAGTTCTGTGTGGTCAATAGCTTGGGGCTGGGATTTGGAAGCTGAGATTTGCAGTCCTGACTCTGCTTTGTATCAGCTATGTGTCCTTCAGCAAGTTATTTAAACTCTCTGAGACTTTTTTTTTCATTTATCCTTTTTTTTGTGTGTGCTTTAAGTGAAAGTTTACAATTCAAGTCAGTCTCTCATAAAAAATTTATACATACGTTGTTATGTGACCCTAATTGCTCTCTCTATACTGTGACAGCATAATCTTCCTTTCCACCCCTGATTTCCCGTGTCCATTCAACCAGCTCCTGACCCTCTCTGCCTTCTCATCTCGCCTCCAGACGGGAGCTGCCCATTTAGTCACATGTATCTACTTGAGCTAAGAAGCACACTCTTCACGAGTATCATTTTATGTCCCACAGTCCAGTCTTTGTCTGAAGAGTTGTGAGCCTATTTTTTTATATGGAAAATAGGAGTATCAGTAGTATCTGCCTTATGAGTTGCTGTAATAAGTAAATGGGATATTGCCCAGGATACAGGAAGTGGACACAATTGTTACTGTCGTAATCACTGTTGGTAGGTCAGTGCTTTTGCCTTTGGGTTTTCAGGGACACGGGCCAGAAGGGTTGTGAAGATCCCTTGGACTCGTGGGTAGCGTCCAGGGCCCGGCGTTACCTGCTGTGGGTGAGCCAGAATAGGGTGTGGAGGGCTCATGCAAGCAGGACCCACAAAATGCACTGGCACTCAGGATCAGAGGAGGCCACCCTTCAGACCCAAGGTGGTTCTGCGGAGGCAGGCTGGCACCCAAGGACTCTCTGGTCCCGGCTCAGCTCTGGCTGGTTGTATGACCTTGAACAAGTGGCTCACCATGCCTAGGTCTTGGTTTCCTTGTTCATAAACCTATAAAGTTCCCTTCTAACTTTAAAAACTTCTTATTTATGTAGGGCAGGAAGGAGCTGGGAGCAGTATGGGTATGCATGAGTAAGAGTACAGGCAGGTGTGTGTGTGTGTGTGTGCGCGCACCTACCTGCCTACCTGCCTGCCTGCCTGCCTGCCACTCCCCTTCTGGGAACCTCATTCCCATCTCATCCCTCCCAGATGGTGGGCTCACAGCCCTGTCCTCGGACTCCAAAGGTGCTCAGGCAAGGGCTTTGGAGTCAGACAGAGTATGAGTACTGACTTTGTGACCTTTTGGAAGCAGCTTACTCTGTCTCTAAGCCTCAATCTTCTTATCTGTAAAATGGAGATGCAAATGGGCTAACATTTACTGAGTGCTGACTATGTGCCAGGCGCTGTCCTAAAAGCACCACACCTTCCACCCTCACAACAACTCCATGAGGAAAACGCCATTATTGTTATCCCCATTTTTACAGACAAGGAAACCGAGGCCCTTGCAAGGTGAAATGACTTGCCCAAGATAACACAGTCAGTGTGGTAGACACAGAGATGTACAGCCCAGACCTGTCCTCAAGGAAGGACTTACTTGCTGCCCAGCTGCAGGGAGTGTGGTCAGCTGGCAGCCTCCAGCTGTTGGCTCCTTCAGCATCTGTCCCTGGTACAGAAGGCCACCTCCCTGAGGACAAGCCCTTCCTGGGCGGCCTGCATCCAATGACTGAGCAAGGTGGGGCTAGGACAGGCTGGGCCACTTTGATGAGCAATACTTTCTCCAGAGCTCCCCACCCACCGCCAAGTCTTTGTCTGTTCCGCTTTGCAGTTTGACTTCTTCCTGTGCCCAATCCTGTTTCCGCCCCCTTCATTTCATGCGTGTCGATCCTTAATAAAGATCTCACACCCCAAACTTCTTCTCTGTGTCTGCTTCTGAAGACCCCACCTTGCAATCATTGCAAGTGGCAGAGCTAAGATCTGAACTGTTAGTTGGGCTCCTGACCACTATGCTACACTGCCTCTCGAGATGAAAGATAATTTTTGGGGTTGCTATAGTGGTTAAAGCATTCGGCTGCTAACTGAAAGGTCAGCAGTTCGAACCTACCAGCCGTTGGGCGGGAGAAACATGTGGCAGTCGGCTTCTGTAAAAATTTACTACCTTGGAAACCCTATGGGGCGGTTCTACCCTGTCCTACAGAGCCACTGTGAGCCGGAATCAACTCGACGGCAACGGGTTGTATAATGATTAAGTCTCTGGTTGACGCGAATGGTTAAGCGCTTGACTACTAACCAAAAGGATGGCAGTTAGAACCTATCCAGAGGCGTCTTGGAAGAAAGGCCTGGCTATCTTCCTGGCGATCGGCTTCCAAAAGGTCACAGCTTTGTAAACATTATGGAGTACAGTTCTACTCTGAAACTCATGGAGTTACCATAAGTTTTTTGTTTTTGTTTTCTTAATAGTGAGATAGTAACTGGAACGCAGTAAACCAAAACCAAACCCATGGCTGTTGAGTTAATTCCGACTCGTGGCGGCCCTGTGTGCATCAAAGTAGAACTGCGTAGAACTACACACTCCGTAGGGGTTCCATAGTAAGGGCTCAACAAATAGTAGCTTATCAAGACTATTAGTAACCCTTACCCTGTCTCCCCTTCCTGGGAAAGGGGCTGGGAGTATAGGTTCCCCAACCCCAGCTGAGCTGAGAGTCGCAGCTTGAGTGAGGGTGGGGCTGAAGCTGGGAGAGGCAATGGGGTGAGGTGGCGGGATGGGGAATCAGAGCCTTGCCTGTCCACCCTCCCCTGAAGGAGATGTGTGTGTAAGAGGGGAGGGACAATAAAGGGGCCAAAGACAGCAAAATAAAGACGCGGAAAGATACATGTACACTTCCAGGGACAGCTAAGTTGAACCCGGTGTCTGGTATCCAGGTCCGCGGGGTTTGAGAAGAAACAAGCGAACAAGGCACAGTCGCAGGAGTCCACAGGATTCTGTCAGACCCTGCTCCCAAGTCATTCCATCTTCCTATATCTTCACCTAGTCCTGTAATGGGATAAGTTTCTCCTTTCTTGTATGCCTGCCCAGAAAGATGACTTTCTTCCCCTTACATCTGCCCGTTTCCCTCTCTTCTCAGGAGGGAAGTCCTTTCTGAAGTCTGACCTCCATTTCTTGTGCTGCAGTGGCAGACTACTCCCAGGGATTTGGGCTTCCATTAGGAACCAGCAGGGGCGCCTAGCCCAGCACTATTAAGGAGTGACCAACATCGTTATTTACAACAGTAGAGCCCAGGGACTTTCACCTTTGTAACCAGACCTCCCTCATTCTCCACAGCTCTTTCTTCTCAGGAAGGAATGCTGAGCCCTGAGGTGTGGGGTGGAAGGTCCCAGTAAGAGAAAAACTGGGAGGAGGCCTGTGTCAGCTCTTTCTGGGTCCCTCTAAGCCTTTCTGTCTCCCCACGAACCTCAACTCACCCTTGAAGACAAAGTTATAATCCTCCTCGGTTCTGTTCCCCATCTTGGCTCCGCATGAAGGGTGTGAGTGTCTTTGGGGGCAGAGGCGACGAGTCTGTGTTGACTCAATGCCCTCAGCCCTCGGCTCTCAAGAGACTCGGACCAGCCCCTCCTCTCATTAGGGTTAAGGAGACTTCTGCAGCCAGAAGGATTGAGGAGACTTAAGGCTAGGCAGGGCCTAGGGAGGCTCCGCTCTGGCAGATGGGGGTGCTGTAAGGAAGCTGAGCGCACGGAAGCTGAGAACAGGAAGAGCGGGCGGCTGGAGACCTGGGGCCCAGGTGGGTGGAGAGATGATGACGTCACACAGGTTGGACGGGTTGGGTGCCTGCTCTCAGCTTGGGCTCTTGAAAGCAGGCGAGCAGGCTCCTTGGAGTGGTAGTGGGGGAGCGGGTTTGGGGACAGGACCTCAGGAGAAAGCCAGCTGAGGGCTGAGTGCAGATTGCTGGGTTCCTGGGACCTGCGGCAAGCGCGGGCCCAGCCACCAGGGCGTTAGAAAGCCCCTCAGGGAGCAGAAACCCCCTTGGCCTCTTGCTTTTCCTTCAGAGCGAGGTGCAAAGAGCCTCTGGGGAAGGCTGTTGGGGCCAGTGCAACACTGCCACTCCTGCCCCTCCCTGCAGCCCAGGGCTAGGGATGGGCGGTGTTTCTCACCCAGCGTGGAGCTGGGACTTGCAGCCTGACCTGTTTCCCTAGGATGGGCCCCTTACCACGGCGCTGGAGAAAGGGGGTGGTAGCTCACTGCCCGGGGTAGGGGGAGACCAGGGGCAGAAACAGCCAGATGGGGTGAGGGGTCCAAGTGTAGGGGCCAGATTTGGAGATGAAGACCCCTGAGAGGCCCATTTTTGGGTTTCTTTTACTCTCTCCCCAGGACCTGAGGCCTCACACCAAAGGCATCCTGTCTGCAAAAGAACTCAAGATCCACACATCCTAACTGGGATAATCTATCATGATTATGATTTATAATGTATAATCTTTATTTTTCAATACTTTTCTCTTGCTGTATTAGCATCATATATTAGCCTATTCTTTCTTGCATTATAGTTCATTACGTTTGATTCTATTATAAAATTTCCTATTGACATTTCAAAAAAAAAAAAAAGGCCTCAAGATCCAGAGAAGGTCTGAGTATGTGAATGCCCCGGGAAAAAGAGAGTGCTGGCCTTGTAGGTGGTCTAGGGGCACCCTCCCAACTCCCAAGGCAGAAAAGGCACCTCCCCTCCCCTCGCAAAGCCTGGAACGGACAGTGAACTCCCAGGGCCCGATATTCTCTTTGTCCAACATTGCCCACACCAGGCCCTTGCTCCTCTGAGCTCCTCCCAAGGTTCTGCCAACCAGGTAGGAAGCTTCTGCTCTGAGTGGCAGGGGCTACGTGAAGTCACACCACTGGAGAGGTCAAGAGAGCAGGGGCACCACCGTTAGAAACCATCTGGTTTTGGGAGAGCATGGTGAAGAAGTAGGTAGAAATCTGCCCTTGAAGAACATTCCTGCTCCCTCTCTCCTCCTCCCATCCCTACCACCCAAGAAAGTAGCCAAGACACAAGACAGGAGCTTAAGTTTATTCTTGGAAATACAAGTCTCATCCTCCCACCACAGCCCAGGAAGGTCTTCCCCAGGGGCCCTGTCCCTCCAAATGTTCATCTCTCTTTTCTGATCCCAGCTTCCGTCTCTACCCATTATGATGCTGCTACTTGGGTGAGGGGCTCCTCCAGGTACTGCACCAGGGCCTGGGCCTGCAAGAGGGGGAGCAGTTATCAGTCCCACACTGGCCTTCTGCTAGAGGGATCTGGGATCCAGGATCTACACCCCCCAATGCCATATGCTCCGAACACCCAGTCCCAGCTTCAATCTGCTCCTGGGAGCTAGGCCACACCAGGCATAGACTAGGTGGATGTGAGAAGGGCCTCAGAGAGGGAGTAGGGGTGGGAGTGGACATGGTGGTTTGGAGGTAGGGGCACATACACACCTTGGCCTTGAGCATTCCGAAGCCCACAGTCTCCTTGGCATACATACACAGCAGAAGGTTGGCCACCCGTGTGATGGCCACACGGCCCTCCTGGTGGGGAAGGGGATATGATGGGCTGTGATGCTCCGCCTGGCACCCTCAGCCTCCTCCTTCCCCAAGGGCTCCTCTGGCCCCAGAGGGACTTATCTTCTTTCCATGCCCTGGGTACAGCAGGAAGTTCAGCTGGGGGGCTTTGGCTATAGCCCTGGCCAGGGGGTCCTGTGCCTGGGTTCTAGCCTCAACGCAGCCACCTTTTAACCAAGTTGCTCTGGGAAACTCACTTAATCTCCCAGAAACTTGGTTTCTCTTTCTGTAATCCCTACCTCACTCCATTTGGTGGGAGTGTCAATACACATGAAGGAGTTTGTATCTGCAAAGGGTTGTCCAGATGGGAGATGTTTCTATTATGGGCTCAACCCAAGGACACTGTGAGGGACTTGGGAGCAGTCACCCAACTTATATTTCTCTTCTTTTCCCTTAGCAATGCTTTGTAAACTGCAAGTTTGACTACAGGGTTAGGAGATCTATTTAAAAGGTTGATCAGCACTTTGAAAAAAAGAAGAAAGGAGGGAAGAGAAACAAAGAGCATTGCATGTAGTAAGGGAAGTACCATCTCATGAAACTTTTGTTTTAGTGGGCGTATGTGTGTACTGGGCTATAAAATGCACTTTTTATGACCAGGTTGTAGTAAAAAATTTTGAGAGTCATTGCCCGATAGCACTAGCTCTGGACTAGGCACCCAAGGGAGCATCTGTTGAACTGAAATGGTATTCTTGATTGGGCAGAGGGTAGGGAAGAAGCAGACAGTCAAGTTACAGTGTAGACCCTTCCTGGAGAGTTCGCTCTTGGGGTCTGCTTAATTTGGTTCAGCAAACCTTCAGCAGATACCCTCTCTGGCCTCATCTCCTACTACTCACCCATGCTCATGCCACTCCAGTCCCATTAGCCTTGCTATTCCTTGACCAGGCATCATTCTGCCTCAGGGCCTTTGCACTTGCTGTTCTCCCTGTCAGAAATGTTCTTCCCCCAGATAACCACATGGCTCGCTTCCCAGCTTCCTTCAGATCTTCAGTTAAGTATCACCTTTTTAGCGAGATTGTCTCTGATACATCCTCCTCACACTCCCTATCTCCCTTCCCTGCTTATTTTACTCCCTAGCATTTTCACTACCTAACGTACTCTGTATTTTACTTACTGGCTTCCTGACGGCTGGGGTTTTTGTCTCTCCTGTTCACTACTTCCCTGCTAGTCCCCAAAACACCGCAAGGACTTAGTAAGTACTTGTTGAACAAGCAGATACAAAGGTGAGTGAGGCAGTCCCTGCTCCCAAGGCCTTCACAGTCTAATGGCCACTTCCCTTTCTGAACTTCATTTCCTTTGTCTGTAAACTGAAGGGCTTCTACTAGGGCCTGGAGACCCTGCCAACTTTATGGTTTCATAAGTCAGTGAACCTGGGACAATACCTTGTGTTTGCACATCCCTTTAGAGTTTACATCCATTCTTTCATTTGATGTTCAAAACAGCTCAGTGAGGTGGGCAAAGGGGTGTGTTGTTACTGTTTTCACCTTAGAGCTGAGGAAGCTCAGAGAGGTTAAGTGACTTACCCAAGGTCCCACAACTGATAAGTGGCTGGCTGAGACCAGAACCCCAGTGAGATCTCGGGTCCAGAACTCCTTCCTCACTACCACTTGATGCATAAGGTCCTGCCTATTATAAATGCTGCTGCCGATCAACTCGTAAGACTCTTTCGGAGATTCTGTTCCTGCCCCTCCAACCATCCAGGATGGGATCCGGGTAGCCCTCTGGGAATCCCCGTGGGGGACAGAAGAAGCCAGGCTCCCCCTTCCATACCATGCAGTCCATGAGGATGAATTTGAGATTGTCTTCGTTAAACGCTTGGTTCCCGTTCCGGTCGTAGGCGGCCCAGATATTACTGGCAATGGCCGCTGTGACCCGGGCGTCCGTGTCTCCGTAACCCGAGTAGGCCAGCAGCGAACCCTCGTTATTCAGCAGCCTGGCGAGGGATATCAACGTGTTCAGAGCAGGGAATAAAACGCCTGGGTTCTCACCCCAAATCCCGCCACCGGAGCTTCTAGGAAGCAAGGATCTGGACTGAGTGTGTCCCGGAACGTGCCCCAGCACCCAGCACGCCAGCTTCCCTTTTCGAGAAAAGCCTCTCCGGGCCAGTTTCCCCAGCTGCTGCCCATTGCCGCCTCTTTCCTTCCCGGCGATCCTTCCCCACCCCTCCCTCAGAGAGCCGCGCGCCGCCCCACTCCGGCTCCAGAGCGCCCCGCTCGGGTCCTCGGTCCGCACTCACAGCGTGCTCTGGACGCCTCCAGTGTTGGCTTGGCTTAGCACCTGGGTCAAAGCCTTGGGGCGCAGCATGCCTGCGGCACCTAACCCCAGGCTTTTGCACTCAGATACTCTGGATTGCCTCCTGCTGGCCTCCACCTGCCGCTTCCCGTAGCCCAGCAGCCCTGCCCCCGAAACGTCCTGGGAGTTGTAGTTTCCTGGCCTGACTATTGTGGTTCTGATTTAATTCCGTCCCGCCGCGGAGGACCCTGGGAATTGTAGTTCCTTGTGGCCTCGCGAGGCACCCTGGGAACTATAGTTTGCTTTTCCAGTCAGACCACGCGGTTATGGGGGAAAAGAGCGGGAGTAAAAGGCCCGTGGAAGTACTGGAAGGACATTTAACCCCTTCGAGGAGAGAGAAGGCGTCCTGTCCGCTTGGCAATCCACAATTCAATAATAATAATAATAATAATAAAATCCCTGTATTTGTCAAGCACACCTTTGGTTACTTTCCAAAGCAGTGTTCTATGTAATGCACGATTCTGTGAGATGAGGCTATACGTATTATTATCTTGAGGAAACCTAGGCTCAGAAAGGCCGCGCAGGCAAAACCCAGGTCTCTGAAACCGTATTTCATCGTCCTTCATTCGGGCCACGACCCTAGGGGGAATAGGGTCAATCCTAGATATGAGAGCCTAGGTGGACATCCAGGGGTTGGAAAATTCAACCTCCAAATCGAGAAAGAGAAGGCCTGGAAGGGATTTGGGCCTCTCAAGAAAGACCAAGTTATCACAGGCAACGGTGATAAAGCAGAAATACAGAAAGTCCTTTGTCCCGGAGCGGGAGTTACCCGCGGAGGGGCGGGGGCAGCCTTAGGCCAGACTGGACCGCGGCGCTGCTCAGGCCGGCTTGAGTGGGCGGTGGTCTCTCTCTCCCGGAACCCGCCCTCCGCTCCCCGCCC